TTAGTTTGCTTTTTTAAAAACCCAAGAAATGACATGCAAAAAACTACATTAGAAAAATAATCAGATTGCAAAAACAAGCATGCAAAAATTAGGAAATGCCAGTAGTAAGGTTGCCTGTTCAATAAAATATTTTATTGAGCTGCTGTTACAAGGATCAGTGTGGCCTGTGTTAGCTATATTCATTGGTTTCTCATGTTCTAACTTAATTTACCTGGGGGTGGTATGCCTTAAATTACCAGAGGGTCAAAGAAAAGAAGGGAGGAAAACATTGATCTAGATGGCATTGTTAAAGAAAACTACTTGCACTGATATTGTCAATAAACAAAAGAAAGACTGGGAGCAGGTGAGTCTAGTTTGTTTAAGGTCTTTATTTTTGTGGGGAGAAGGGTCATTGTTGATGACTATTTTACTCCTACTATAGAGGCTATTGAAGCATCAAAGTCTGTCTGTCAGAACACAGTATCAAGAATCTGCACAATGGTGACATTCTCCAAAAGCAGTTGAGTTTCAGTGAAGAATGGGGAGAGATCGGGAAGCCAACATGCAATGCCCACAGCTGGTCTGTCAATGAGTAATAGAGGGTTTAATTGCTGCCAGTGGATCAGATCTAAATAATTCATTAGAAGAATAAGCTGACTTGGAGAAGAACCAGAAACAAGTAAGAGGAGGGGCCATTTCAGAAAGCTAGGAGGGCTCCAAAGCTTTTAATAGTAGGGGATGTAAAGTAGGAGCCAGGAAGCAGCATGACTAAGAAGGTGAAATACTTTCCATTCCAGACAGTGAGCCCCCTGCAGCCTCTTCTCTTAAAGGTACACACTACACTGTATTAGAGCTGCAGGCCTTGCTTGTCGCAGGATGGAGAATTTGCCCTGACAAGTTCTTTTGAAAATTCAAGATTTTGTTGAAGCAAAAAATATATAAATAAATAAAATCTAATCTCTAACCAAATTACTAAGGAACATTCTACGGTGTTTTAACACTTTCAGAAAGAAAGAAAGATAGATAGATAGATATTACATGTTTATCTGACTTTAGCACTGAGTTCTGCAGGGTTAAAATACAAAAGTCTTTGCATTTTATCTTTGGTGGGGAAATTTACCAAAAAAATTGTGCCAGTAATTGCTGGGAGCACCAGCATAGGGCTCTGGCAGCTTCTGGCATTTTTACTGCTGTTTTAGTGAAACCCAACTCACCCTTTGCTAGAGCCCCACTTACTCTTTCTTTCATTTCTGTTCTCTACCTCACTGCCTAACATCCCTGCTCTATTAATGTTCCTAAGTCAGATAGGGGAAATCAGGATGGGCTCTTCACATCCTCACAGAGCATGCCCTTTCTGAGGCTCTGGCTACACTACGCAGCTTTTAGTGACACAGCTGTGTCGCTACAGCCATGCCGCTAAAAGGTGCACAGTTAGCCGCTGTTTGTCAGCTCTCCTGCCAATAAAAAACTTCCACCCCCAACGAGTGACATTAGCTTTGTCAGCAGGAGAGCGCTCCCACCGACAGCATTGTTCACACCGGTGCCTGTAGTCGGCAAAACTTTTGTCTTTGGGGTGTGTGTGTGTGTGTTTTTTAATACCTCTGAAAGACAAAAGTTTTGTTGCTCAGTTGCCAGTGTAGACATAGCCTAACTTGACACTTCCCTGTTGGTGAAAAACAAGAGCTTTGTCAGTAGAGGAAGCTCCCTGAAGAGAGGGGCTGATAGCGTGGCTCCTGAGACAGCTTCAGGGACAAGTCCCTCTCCATCTCTTCCTGACCCCTTGCCATCTTTATGGGAAGTTTGTCAGACTTGGATTGCTTGTCTTGAGGAGAAGCATGTCCTCTAGAGCAGCGTTTCTCAAATGCGGCCACCATGGCCGCATGCAGCCACCGGGGGGGAAGTAGCTCTCCCTGTTGCTTCTGGATGCACTGCCTTGGTGTTGGTTGCTGGGGCCACCAGCAGGGATTGGGCCTTGCCCCCCTCTGGAGTCGCCTGGGGCACAATGCTGTAGGAACAGGCAACCAGCAGGTTTCCCACTTTCCATGGGGCGGTGGGGTTCAGGCTTTGGGCTTCTGGATACAGGGCTTCAGGCTCCGTCCCTGGGTCCTGTCCTCCAGCTGCAAGGCCTTGGGCTCTGGCAGCGGGGTTTCAGACTCCAGTACGCCTGCTGCCTTCCCAGCCCCCCACCCCTATCTCCCCTGACCATCATTGCCTTTCCCAGCTCTCCCTCCAGGACTTAATTTGTCCCCAGGCTTGCCAGGGCTGAGTAAGTCTGCTGTGAAAAGTGATACTTGTATGTTTGTAAATATCACTTTTCACAACAGACTTACTAGCTCGCAATAAATAAATGACAATGCTTTGGACATGTATATGTGCATAGTTGTTTGGTTTTCCTAAAACTAATTAAATATTTTAGGAAAAAGTGTGAGAGCGGCCACCAGCAAGTTTTGTCCTGAGAACTCCTGCCATAAGAGTTAGAGGTCATTACTGGGAGGGGCAGCATGGGGGCCATGCAAAAACTAATTTCACCCCGCTGATACTCACTCCTTCTTGTTAACTGTTTGAAATGGGGCACCTTGATTACATTGGCCTCATTAGCACTACAAAAGTGATTTCCACCCCTTCTTGTCAACTGTGGAGAATAGCCCACTTCCACCTTAATTGAATTGGCTCATTAGCACTGATCCCCCACTTGGTAAGGCAACTCCCATCTTTTCATATGCTGTGTATTTATACCTCTCTACTGTATTTTCCACTCCATGCATCTGATGAAGTGGATTTTAGCCCACGAAAACTTATGCCCAAATAAATGTGTTAGTCTCTCAGGTGCCACAAGGACTTCTCGTTGTTTTTGCTGATACAGACTAACATGGCTACCGCTCTGAGATCTTTTTCTCTATTCCTCAAGTATGACTTTCCCCTGCTTCCTCCAAACAGGAAATGCTGTATGCTTCCAATAATTGCTCACTCCCCTCTAAAGATGGCTGTGAATTCCACAGACTCCTCTGCTGTTCAGTTTTTCTTCCTTAGCTTGTCAGGAGTCTGTGCTGAGCCCAGTTGGTGAACCAGAAAGCACTGAAAACAGAAAACACTGTAGCTCAGTCGTTCTCAGCCAAGGGTCCAGGGCTCCCTGTGGGGCTTCAAGCAGGTTTCAGGGGGTCCGCCATAGCTGGCATTAGATTGGCTAGGGCCCAGGGCAGAAAGCCGAAGTCCCGCCAGGCGGGACTGCAGCCTGTGGCCCTGAGCCCTGCCACCTGGGGCTAAAGCCGAAGCCTGAGCAACTGAGCTTCGTTTTGCCCCCTATGGTGTGGGGGCCCGGGCAATTGCCCTTCTTGATACCCCCTAACATCAGCCCTGGCTTTTATATGCAGAAAACAGTTGTTGTGGTGCAGCTGGGCTGTGGAATTTTTATAGCATGTTGGGGGAGGGGCTCAGCAAGAAAAAGGTTTGAGAACCCCTGCTGTAGCTGACAGAGCTGGAGCGTTCTGTTGTATATTCTTCATTTAGCATTTTGTTATGGCGAAAATGACGTAGGTTTTCTGCAAAATTAACAGAACATTGTTGATATCTGATCCTATATAGGAAGTTATAATCTGTTGTAGCAAGTTTGGTATAAATCTGTGCAGTCGTTAGTCTGTAACACGGATCCAAAAAAAGGTGAGACTTGTTGAGTTAAATTTCTTGAGTGATTTTTTTTTTTTTTTAACATTCATGTGTTATCCCAGGAGGACTTGTCAATTCAATAAGTACCTTCCAAAATTCACATACACTTCAATTAGTATTTTGGTGTGGTGTTTTTTTAAAACAGCAATCAGTTTGACCTACACAAACTTGCTAACAGTGTGCCCATAATACATGTCATGTGAGTTAAGATGATCCTAGCACTTGCCAAATGTAAAATCATAACTAACTAATTTCCCCTCAAACTTTGCCTTCATATTGAGGCCATGTTTGTAGGAAATTGGTTGAGTTGTTTAAAAGTTATGAGTATTTTAAGTCAGCAAAACATTTTTGAAAATTGTGTATGTGATGGGGGGCCCTATTATCAGGCCAAGCTGCCTCCATTGGCCTCATGCGGAGTTGGTACACTCCGCCACCCAGTTGTTGGGATTCCCTGTTAGATCAGGTAATTGCAGTACAGAGGGCTCCAGACCCCTGCTAGGGCCGAGAAAAAAAACAGTCAGTAGCCCCTGAGTCTCCAGGCTGGGGCAGACAACAACACTTGGAGTTCTGGCCCTCTGGGTAGGATGCAGCAATGGTCAGCCTGTAGCCCCCAGACAGGGCTAGGCAAACAAATAGTCTGTGGCCCACAAGCCTCCTGGCTGGGGCAGGTAGTAGCAATTGGGGTTCTGGCCATCTGGGTGGGATAGAACAGCAATTAGTCTATAGCCCCCAGGCGGGGCAGGGCAAACACTTAGCCTATAGCCTCTGAGCCTCCTGCGGCAGGCAGTTACAATTGGGGCTCTGGCCCTGTGGGCGGGGCAGACCAAATAAACAGTCTATAGCCCCTAAGCCTCCTGGCTGGGCAGACAGTAGCATTTGGGGAATCAGCCCCTTGGGCAGAGGAGAACAGCAACCAATCTGTAGCCCCTGAATGGGGCAGAACAAATAAACAGGCTTTGGTCCCTGAGCCCCCAGACTGGGCCAGAAAGCAAACAGCAACCACACCTAGTGGTCTGTGGTAAGGGAACCCAGCCCCTCCCGTTCCACCACATTCCGACCCAGGGCCCTATGAAGCTGGGGACTTCCATACTAAGGATTTAGGCATCAGCTTCTACTACATCCCCTGGGTCACTTCCTACCACAAGTTGCATCCTGGGCACCTCCTCATCTGGTGGCGGCCTGGTGTCTCTAGCAGTCTCTGCAATCAGTGAGTTGCCTGCAGCATAGTCCGTGTTCTCGGGCTCTACCGCCTGGAGCATCACAGGCGCCTCTGCAGGAACCTGTAGTACACATCCTTCCCCTGCCTCAGCCAACCCCTACTGAGCTGGGCTGCCTCTTTTTAACTGGCTTTTCCACCTGCAGCGTGTGCAGCAGGGGAAAGGGGACGTTGCTTCCTGGACCCACAGTGATTGGTCCTTCCCTGTTGGCCCAGTGCACGACTGGTACACCTCGTCACAGTGTACCTAACTAATTCACAGATACACACTATGTCTCCCTTTCAGGGCCAAATCCTGGTCCTACTGAAGCCATCATGAACTTTTTTATTTACTTTATTGGGAGGAGGGACTGGACCCTGTGTGTGCACCTGTAGACTTTTTTTTTTAACATGAACATGTTCATACAGTTAAAATTATGGTAAAGCAACACCTTTTAAAAAAATAAAAGCAAGCAAAGGCACTATTCCTCAAAGAGGATGCTATGCAGTGTTTCAAACTTCATCCAATATTTTCTGCAGCAGCCAAATAGTATGCCTGGAATCCTTAAAAAACAGGAAGTGATCTGTTTCACAGTTCCTGATCTCAAACAGATGAGGAATTTTGCTCACATCAACCCAAAAGAAAAATTCACCTTTAGGCAGACATCAAGCATAAGAATGTTGAGCCCAAAATAGGACTATTTGGAAAAAGTTATCAGAGTATGTTATCAGGGTGCTAATATGGGTCATTCTACTTACAGTTAATAATTTTCCCTCAGTAGTTAGCATCAAGCCATAAGATAATAATTATCTTCTACAGCTCATTCAAAACATCTTTTACACAATTTTGTACATGTAGTTCCACAAGTATCAACACAAATGCACATCTATGTAAACATCTCAAAGTAACCACAATGCAGTCTGTAATTTCTTCAATGATAACAATAAATTAAAATGTTACTAATTTAATTCACTTAACATAAATATTTTAAAAAGGCTTGAAAAGAGGGTATTTTTTATCAAGGCTCTGGAGGTCTGCACTGTATTCTTCTTCTTGATCGCTGGCTTTCCTTGTTTTCCTACTCTCTTGGGTTTTTTCCCTTTAGGCTGTTCCAGAATACATCAATAAATTTTTTGTTTCCTTTTTTCCTTTCCAAAGTAAAGAATATATTTGACCTTTCTACACTGTGACTGGGAGATGTGGCAGTTTCTCAGGTGAAATCTTCAGTTTTACCTAGATTTCTGAGACTTAAGTCTATAGTTTTAAAAAGAGAACAAGATAATGGGAGGGCTTTCCAGTGAGTACAGACTCTAGATCCTGATGATTATTTGTATTAAGTCTCCACCCAAGATTAGTCCATTGTGCTAGACACTATACAAACAGATATAACAGTCAGTCAATACCTTGAAGAATTTACAATCTAAATAGACAAAACAAAGGATGGGAGAAAGAAAGTATCATTTTCCCCATTTTACAGACCAGACCTGAGACACAGATTATGATTTACAGGAAATCCATGGCAGAGTCACAGGAAATCCACGGCAGAGTCAGGAACTGAATTGAGATCCTGAGTCCTGGTCCAGTACCTTGATCATAGGGACATTCTTCCTCTAGTTGCTGTTGATTTTGCCTTGCTGGCCATGTGATCTGAGTATCATGATAAATGGAAGTGGAGTCAGAGTGCCTGTGTTCCCTGGAGGGGCTTTTACTGAGGTTGACACTAGGTGAACAGGGAACAGTTGTAGTTAGGCTGGAAGCAACTCAAGCCACATGGACAGAGCAGTGCACAAGGTTTAATAAAGTTCCACTTGTTCAATTTAACCTGCATTCAGTTTCACTTTTTGAAAATTAAACAATCTGTATTTGTTTCCCCAGCATTGTTTTTGTCGTTCTCTTTCAGCCTCTGTGTTCTGTAAGTGTGGCTATTTTCTTCACTCATCCAGGTGTAAAACTTCTACAAATTACAAATAAGAGTGAGAATCTGTGGAAAAATTCACATCTTCAGCAATCTCATGATACCAATACTTAAGCAGAAACTATTAAAATCATGAGGAGTTCTGCCTAAAAGCTGATGGCTTGATCTGGCCATTTGAATCTAACGTGCCACTGTATTCTGAATCTAGGTTACTCCAGGTCAGAGGGCAATAATCACAACCAATATACATGCACTCCCATTAACTAAAAACTAACACTGCAATGTCCTTGTAAGTGATCTTAATAAATTCAGTGAAAACCAGTTGATAATGGTTTCTATGATTTATTTGGATATAAATCAAGGATTGTGGTGATATCCTGGAACTCACTCCAACTCTGATCTGTGCTAAAGGGACAGACTACAATTAGAGTCATCTAAGTGTTATGTTTATTTATGGAATGCAGTACATTTTGCTAAATGTTATTGTTTGCAATCTCAAAAGAAAAGATCTTAAAGCATTCTTTGATTTTCTTTTGGATGTTTATAACAGCACCAGCACCAGTGCATTCTTATACACCAGGGAAGGCTGATCCTTCATGCCGTCCTCCTTGGGTAACAGATGACTCCTTTTCCCAGAAATTTGCACCTGGAAAAACCACCACCTCCGTGACCAAACATACCCTACCACGGGGTGCTCCGGCACCATCTCCTGCCTCAACTTCAGCCTACTCGTCTCCTTCAATATCAGCCTCTTCTCAGACTCCTGCTGTAGCCAGGGGAACAATTCAAAGGGCTGAGCGTTTCCCAGCCAGCAACCGAACTCCTCTTTGCGGACACTGTAACAGCATAATTCGGTAAGGTCATGAGACTCTTAGGAGAGGGATGGAGGCAGAAGAGAAAGTATCACAGAGCAACTGATTATTGCATTTTATTATACAATCTCAGAGCATGAGACACAGTTAAATAATCCAGAGGGGATGCCTGTTGTCTGCTTGATTCATTTAAGATTTCCAGAACTCATCTTTGCCATCGTGTGGTTCACTTTTTATCATGGCCAAGTTATACAAGGTCATTGTTTTGGGCACCTTTCCTACCAAAAGCACTGCCTTTTTCTTACAAATTTCTGGTCCCCAAGGTATCTCCAGAAATAAAATTGGAAGGACACTATGTAAAACTATATTGGGTTGGGGGAGTGAGATATCAGTTTGGAGACAAATGTAATTGCTGCTTTTGTGTCTGGAGAAAGATAATGCACACACTCTGTTACCAGTGATTCACTGCATGCTTCTCTTTTCTCCTCCCCCAGTTCACTCTACTGGACTGGTGCCCATTGTTACCCTGTTGATTGCTGCCTGACTTAATTGTAATCCGTGCATTTTTAATGACAGTTTCATCCACTAAAAAGGAACTGGTTCAGTGGTGTAGGGCTACTGATTATCATTCTCCTGTCTTCCCAGAAAGGAATACTCCAGTAATACAAACAATATTCTAATCACTACATCTAAGGGAGCAGGGTGGATTGACCGAGGAATGTCATCTAGTTCTGCTGTGACTGTCTGCATGGGGGATGGGAGAGCAGGGGATGACTTCACTTGAGTGAGGATACCTGAGCCTGTAACCTGAGCTGGGAGGGGATTGGACCCAGGTGACACCTTTGCCTGGGAAACTGGACAAAGGCAGGGGAAGGAGCCAGGGGGAGGAGGAGTGAGACTGCGGGACTTGACAGGTTTCAGAGTAGCAGCCGTGTTAGTCTGTATTCGCAAAAAGAAAAGGAGTACTTGTGGCACCTTAGAGACTAACCAATTTATTTGAGCATGAGCTTTCATGAGCTACAGCTCACTTCATCGAATGCATAAGTTTCAGTTTTGGGCTGGCTGCGAAAACGCAGGGAACCACAAGTCTAGGGTCTAAGCTCCTTGCCCCCCAGAGGGACCTGGCTGAGGGGTCCTGGTTGTACTTACAAGCCCTGCTTGGAACTGTGTTCCTGTCGTCTAATAAACCTTCTGTGTTACTGGCTGTCTGAGAGTCACGGTGAATAGCAGGAAGTAAGGGTGCAGGGCCCTGACTCCCCCACACTCTCTGACAACTAACAGTAAATCACCAAGATGTTTTAATGTGGCTATAGTATAACTAAAGGATAATCAAACAGCAAGTTGCCATTTTGACAATCTGATGTAACATAGTGAATGCAACTTTCATTCAAATGCACAAGAAAACATGAGACTTTCAAAGCTATTGTAAAGTATATATGTATTACACCTTTCACCAACTCTGGAAAGTCTCCTGCTTTGTCATGTTTTCAAATGGTAATTCTCTACTCTGTGTCATACTCATTAGAATGAGGAAACTTCCCATTTGATTCCTCCACCCCTTGTTTTATATTTAACACTTCTGAACTTTTGATGATTTGTGGGTTTTTTTGTTTGTTTTTTAAAGAATGCATTTTCAGTGCCCTACTCTACACAAGCAGTTTACAGCTGCTGATGGGAAATATTAGCAACATGGGAGTTCTCACAAACACTATTTACAGTTATGGAGATTTGGAAACCATAGCACTATTTCCAACAGATGTTTTGAAAATTCAGTTAATATATTAACCTATAAAAATGATTATAACTAATCCCTGAAATTTTCCTTTAAAAAACCTTGAAAAGAGACCTCTTGTCAGCAGGTTATAGTGTCTTATTTTAAAATACATCCTCATTAGTATTGTTCATCAGTGCCATTAGATACTTCTGCAATATAAATATAATAATGATGTTCCACAGGGGTCCTTTCCTGGTAGCCATGGGTCGTTCCTGGCACCCAGAGGAGTTCAATTGTGCTTACTGCAAGACATCTTTAGCGGATGTGTGCTTTGTGGAGGAGCAGAACAGTGTGTACTGTGAGCGCTGTTATGAGCAGTTCTTTGCACCAACCTGTGCCAGATGCAACACCAAGATCATGGGGGTAAGTCAGAACAGCATGGCCTCACATCTAAGTCCTCACTCCATTGAAATCAGAAATGGAATACTTTTGATTATAGGCAACTAATTAAGTATTAAATTCTTCTGCTTTCTTCAACAGTAATTTCCTAGCCTATTAATTATTCCAGAATAAGACACATATAGGCTTACTTAGAACTATGTTTCTATACTGGCTGGAGATTTGGACATGACTGTATTATACTTATCAGTCTATATGGAGGAAGTTTGTAATATGAATAATTTTTTTTAATTGTTTTTTGGTTTATTTTTCTCTCTTTCCTGCTCTTGCTTTGGTGACCTCCTAAAATGAAAATGTATTGCTCTTGTGCACCTGTTGCTAAAGTTAGGCAAAATGTGGGCTGATGCTATACAGTCTTCTTCAGATAAGGCTTAATCCAGAAACTCCACCGACTTCAGAGTCAGTGGACTTTGATCAGGTCCACACAGCTATCAGTGCATCCATGTGCGAATAGCAAGACTCTTGCTCTAGAGAAATCATGATGATTAGATTTTTAAAATAAGATACAGGCATCTGAACCCCAGAAAGGCGAGAGAAGAGCCCACTTTTGTTTGTCTTATACACTCCTACTAGGCTTCATGCCTAGATACTGTGGTGACTGACACTCTATAAATACCTGAACAAGCTGATGAGGTGGTTGGAGCAGCAGATGATGATGATAATCTTAGCAATGGATTTGTGTACACAGTTGAGAAGGAAGATGAGACATGCAGGGATGCCTAGGTTAGATATTAGGAAAAACTATTTCACTAGGAGTGTGGTGAAGCACTGGAATGGGTTACATAGGGCAGTGGTGGAATCTCCATCCTCAGAGGATTTTAAGGCCCAGCTTGACAAACCGTGGCTGGGATGATTTAGTTGGGGTTGGTTGAACTAGATGACCTCCTGAGGTCTCTTCCAACCCTAATCTTCTATGATTCTATGCCAAAGATGTGACCAAGCATCTCTCACAATTCTTCCAGACTGGCAAATGAAGAGTACAATATTAGTTATCACTACTCTGCATCCACTCCTGACATCAGTCTCAGTGTTGGGGAAGTCAGTGCTTTGCTCCCTGCTAGGAAGCGCATCATCAAACACTTGAGGTGAAGTCCTGGCTCTAAACAAGCCCTGCATAGTGGCGCTTTCGGGGGAATGTTAAAACAAAGCCACTGAAATACTTACTTATCTAATTAATGGAAGAACAAGTCAGCTCTCCTCTGTGGATTTCTATCAGTAACATAGCAAAGCTGCCAGCTGCCTCTGTTTACATTTGTAAGATTTCTCAATCTGTCTTTTACTTCTTAGTACTGAGAGGTTTATAAATGGATCCAAGCCTATTTGTCAGCTATAATTGTTTTGCAAACAGTAACAGAAGTTATTAAATCTCACTGGTGATTCTGTAATGAGATGTATGGCAAATATAAATGAGGCTGTGTTGTCTAGCAAGTTGGTGCAATGGACTGAAACCCTGGCAACTACTTTCATTCCCTTGTGCCTCAGTCAGTAGAGATTAAAAAACAAGTAAACTGTAAGAAACTCGCTTAGAATCATATACCCCATAAAACAGGAAATAAAATACATCAAATCAGTGACTCTCAACCTATCCAGTCTATTGTACCCCTTTCGGGAGTCTGATTTGTTTTGGGTACCCCCAAATTTCACCTCACTTTAAACCTACTTGCTTACAAAATCAGACATAAAAATATAGAAGTGTTCCAGGACACTATGACTGAAAAATTGCTTACTTTCTCATTTTTAACATATAATTTTGAAATATATCAATTAGAATATAAATATTGTCCTTACGTTTCAGTGTATAGTCTATGTATAAACATTGTCTTTATGAAATTTTAGTTTGTACTGACTTTGCTAGTGCTTTTTATGTAGTTTGTTGCAAAACCAGGCAAATATCTAGATGAGCTGACATACCCCCTGGAAGACCTCTGCATACCCCCAGAGGTAAACGTACCCCTGGTTGAGAACAACTGCATTAAATAGGTCACAAATCACGCAGTCTGTTGGGTAACTACTTTGGCCCAGATCCTCAGCTGGTGTAAATCAGTGTAGCTCCACTGAAGTTAATCAAGCTAAATCCCGTGTCTCTCTGTCATGTGCCCACACTTGTGTGTACACACAAAACAGGAGAGAGATTAAAACTTTCTTTTGTGCAGGGTCTCCCAGTGAGGAGGGAGCCATGGGTTGTGTTGATGCAGTCAACTGGCTGAATTGAGCTATTGTTTGCTAGATGTTTGGTGGTTTTGTTTTGACAATAAATCATATTAGGAGGTTTCCAATGCTCTGAATGGAGGCAGAGCTTTCCCACAGGAGTAAACATTTGCTACTGAGTTTTGTATTTCCTCATTTTAAAAATCCCTTGAGTTGTTGAGTTTTATCTTGAGCAAAAGAATTGGCTGATTTTAAAATGAGTAGCCCAGGGTATCCCAGCTTTGTATTTGTTTTCCTGTATGTGGGTTTAGTGTATGTGGTATTTTTCTGTTTTTGTTTTTCAGGAAGTGATGCATGCTTTAAGGCAGACTTGGCACACAACTTGCTTTGTCTGTGCTGCCTGTAAGAAACCGTTTGGGAATAGCCTCTTCCACATGGAGGATGGGGAGCCCTACTGTGAGAAAGGTATAACACACAATAGAGCCACCATATCTTGCTGGATAGTACTGCTCAATACTAGTGTCCTTCATGTTATCTGGCAGAACCACAGAAACAAGTACTCCTGTTCTTTTTTTACAGAAACAGGGCAATTGCCAAGCAAAATCAGGCTGATAGCCGATCTAGTCTGGTAGCTTGTCTTTAGCGTCAAGCTATACGAGTGTTCCCTAGTCTGTGTTTTCCCACAGCTTCCCTTGCCTCCTTGTGATTAGGCAGGCTGTTTGTGGGTTTTAAAGCAGACAGTCCTGCTTTTGTAGTGTTTGTCCCGCATCTGGTACAGAGACAAAACTGGACATGGTTTTGTCCATTATCAGATGAGGAACACTGTAATGGAGAGCGTGCCACTCCACTTCTGTCAATGTGACCTCATGTGCACTGGGGCAGGGCGGTGTGCTCCTCAAAATGGCACCCTCTTTGTGGCATGACCTTGCACACACAGGTGCTGACTTTTGATTTTACGCGGTACGTGCTCCACTCTGAGGCCCTGCTCCTGCTTGGCTTCTTTTCCCAAGGCCCCCACCCTTGCTCTGCCTCTTCCTGCCCCCGCTCTGTCCCTTCCCCCAAAGGTCCCCCCGCTGCTCCCTTCTCTCCGCCCCACCTTCCCCAAGCACCTCCTGCCAGCTGCTTGCTGACCTGTGACCAGCCCTGAGGGCCTGTTGAACAGCTGATTTCTCACCAGCCCTGGGGCCGGAACCACTGCAGAACACCCCCTATTTTTTTTTCCGTGGGTATTTGAGCCCCAGCATACCCATGGAATTGGCACCTATCCTTGCATACACGACACTTGCGGGGGAGGGCCCACACTATTCCCAGAAGTGCCGGAATGCCCGGTATTCCAGGAATGGGCAAGTGGCCACCCTACAAGTTGTGATGGACAGGCAGATGGACAGGCAGATGCGCCCTTCCCACTGCATAGCTTCTCCCAGCACATTTCTGCCTCCTTTCTCTCCCTTATCTATTATTGTCTCTGTGGTTTATCTTTTTTCAGATTAGGGTGTTTTTTTTATTTCGTCCCCTAGTGGTTCCCCCTTGCCAGGTAGCTATATGTTCCCGGCTTTGGGAGGGACTTCCATTAGGAGCTCCATAATGCCAGTCCAGGATGGCTACTGCCTAAATCACTTGTGTCATGACCTGAATGTAACCTAAAAGGGGAAGCATGCCCCCAAACTTGGTGATACTCCTCTGCCCATGACTGGCCAATACTAGTAAAGGCAAAGCTCTCCTGCGATAAGCAACAAGGGGCAAGTGAAACTCTTCTATCCTCTGGCTGCTCATACTGCCTGAATTCTGCAACTGGTAATCAGCTTCCAAGCGCAGCTGTTTCTTGACAGCTGAGAAGGGATGGGCCCAGACTGTTGGATACTACGGTAAAGGAGAGCATATGGATAAATAAATGGAGCTAGCAAGGTGAATGAGCTATGAGGCAGGATCAAGGCTAGACTAAATTGTGAAGTGGTCCTTCCCTCCTTGTGCCCTGTCTCTGCTCCCTCTTGCATTCCTGGCCTCATCTCTCTCTGGTAGTGAGAAATAGAAACCTGAAGAGTCAAAGAGTACCTCCTAGGTCCTGGATTTAAGGGGGGGATAAATCTAAAATGGCTTAGATTGGGGGCCCTAAAACGTACTCTCTTAAAATCGGAGCTTTCCACCACAACCCCAATAACCTGAATAATTTTTGACTCTCTTGTACCTTTTTTATTTCTGCTGTATCTTTTCTGAGATACAATAACTCCAGATTGACATCAATATTCAAAGTTAGAATATATTAACCAATGGATACAGTGTTGTTATATTTTCTATTTAATGCAAAAATTATGGTAGTCCAACATTAAACTGAGAATATAAATATACAGCAGGCAGGGAAATCGAAGTGGTGCTTACACAGTGCTCATCATGTCATCACCCTGGTCCTCGTATAGTATGTTGTATAAATTCATTTTGTGCTTATGATTTTTCTGTAGTGTGTGTGATTATAAATCAGTCTATCGATGGCTAATTTCCAAATCCTGTGGGAAACATAACTTTGAATTTCCTGAATTGTGTGTGTTTATGTTCACAGCCATAATACTGCATTAAGTGGGTTTTTGCAGTGAATTTCTGTGTTTAAAGAAGTAAAGGAAGGGGGCGGGAGGAGCTGCTCAAAAATTTCACCCTTGGAGAATTTGAGTGGGATGTAGAAAAGAATTCTACATAAAAATAATCCCAAGAATCACTACTAGGCACATCTCTGTTTCTTTTGGGTGTAATATGCTTGTGTTCAGTGTTCATTCTAAGTTTGCTTTTGTTTTATTTTAGATTACATTGCTTTGTTCAGCACAAAATGCCATGGCTGTGATTTTCCTGTTGAAGCAGGAGATAAATTCATTGAAGCCCTTGGACACACTTGGCATGATACCTGCTTTATTTGTGCTGTAGGTATCTATAGAATAATAATGTAGATTTTAATGTAATCTTATTAGAACTTGTGACATAATACTGTAAGAATTCAGTTTAGTGGTGGTGGTGGGAAGCGGTTGATTGGTTTTAATTGCAGATGGGGGTTGTTTTCCTTTCCCTCCTCTCCCCACACCCACCCCCGTTTTCATCAGAATAGCTAAATTTGATCTATACTGCTAATGCTCAGAAACGCTAAGAAAACACTTGTGCTTTTTGGAAGAGTCTACAGAAACTGTGTGGGAGAGCAGTGCTTGGTGTTCTCTTTAACTAAATTTGCACAAAGTGGTAAATCAGGATTTAAAATAGACCTCAGGCAATGATATTATCACCAAATTGAATAGTGTGAAATATAGTGACCAAATGTTCTGTTTATACAGTTGTGCAATTTGCATTTCTACACAGAAAGGAGTCAGTTCAGAAAAAACAAAAAGTAATTAGTAAAGATGTTAGCATTCTGTCTGCTCCTGTGCATGTGTATACGTAGGTAAAATCTATATAATAATCAGCACTTATCACCCCTGACTGTCTCACCTGCACTCATCCACTAACCCATTTCCCCTAGAACTATCAATAATATTCCAAGTCTCTCATCAGCTACAAATAGTACACTGACATGGTCAGAAAGAACAGTTGACAGCCTCACTGATTCATTTGGGGCCGTACACCTCTCTAATGAACTTTAGGAAGTATAGAATGGATTGTTCATGTCAAATGTTAAATTAACCTACTGGCTGCTGTTTTTTCCATGAGACATTTTCTTCATTAATATAATATGCTCCTTTCCTGAAATTGGGAATGTCTGAAGTTGATACATGCATTTGTGTTAGTACACAGACTATTGCTTGCGCAATCCAGTAGCTATTTTCTCTTGATTCAACATCAGTTTTGTCATAAAAACGTATTTAATTGCTTATAAAAGACACTTTCTCTGAATATTTCCTATTCTGGTGCATTTGCATTTTTAGGTAGCCTCTCACCCATTTATTTTAGTTGGCAGGACCCAAGTGTTTGTAGAGGTGATACTATCTGTTGTTCTGTTAATGTAATTTTCACAGTTGTCCCATCCCAGTTTATCCTAATTGTTTTACTGGCATATAAAGCCAAACAGAAAAATCCATGTCAGTCTATCTTTGCATTTCTAACGTGCTCATCCCAATGTTATTAATGTGCATTGCTTTCCATCTAGCTGCAGTACACATTACTGTAGTTAGCACCAGTGGTGAGCTGGAGCTGGTTCGCTAGAACTGGTTGTTAAATTTAGAAGCCCTTTTAGAACCGGTTGTTCCACGAGGGACAACCGGTTCTAAAAGGGCTTCTAAATTTAACCAGCCAAAAGTGGCACCTTAGGCGCCAACTCCATGGGTGCTCCGGGGCTGGAGCACCCAAGGGGAAAATTTGGTGGGTGCAAGCACCCACTGGCAGATCCCTGCCCCACCCCCGGCCCCAGCTCACCTCCGCTCCGCCTCCTCCCCTGAACGTGCCGCCCTGCTCTGCTTCTCCGCCCTCCCAGGTTTCCCGTGAATCAGCTGTTTGCGTGGGAAGCTGGGGCAGGCTGAGAAGGAGGCTGCAGCTTCCTGCTCAGGCCCAGGGAGGCGGAGATAAGCTGGAGTTGGGGGGTGCGAGGAGGGCCACCCGTGCCGCAGCAGGTAACCTGGTGGGGGGCAGTGGAACCGCTCCCCGCCCCAGCTCACCTCCGCCACCCTCGGCCTGAGCGGGAAGCCACCTCCTGCTTCTCAGCCCTCCCAGGCTTCCCGCTGAACAGCTGATTCATGGGAAGCTGGGCGGCGGGGGGCCTGGAGAAGCAGAGCGGGGCGGAGAAGGCGGAGGTGAGCTGGGGCGGGGAGCTGCCGGTGGGTGCTCCAGCCCTGGATGTGATCAGTGGGGGAGCGGCTGCTCCCGCTGCTCCCCCCCAGCTATGTTCCCCCGCCCCTTGGAGCCTGAGAGACCTGCCGGATGCTTCCTGGGAGCTGCCCCAGGTAAGCACCTCTGGGACTCCCCACCTCACCCCCTGGCAGGTGCCTCTGGCTCTTAGGGGTGGGCATCCACTACAGTAGCCCACGAGACCCTCCTGCCCAGTTCTGGGGGTAGTCAGGGGACGGGGGAGGGGGGTGGATGGGGCAGGAGTCCTGGGGGGTGGAGGTGGGCAACGACCCCTTCGTGGGGTGAGGAGGGAACCCGTTGTTAAGATTTTGGCAGCTCATCACTGGTTAGCACTTCCAGTCTACACTGGCAATGCTAAAGCGCTGCCGTGGCTTGTGGCTTGTGTGGTCGCGGCACAGTGTTGGCGCTCTCTCCCAGTGCTCTAAAATAACCACCTCAGCGAGGAGCGTAGCTCCCAGCTTTACAGCGCCGCAACTTGCTGCGCTCGGGGGGGTGTTTTTTCACCCTCCTGAGTGAGAAAGTTGCAGCGCTGTTAATTGCCAAAGTAGACAAGCCCACATCACCTAACATTGATCGCTGCCAAAGTCCTTAAGTGGTCCTAGTGAAATTTATCGGACTCTCATGGAGTATGGGAGGTGCTACGCATTGTGAGTCAGCGTATCAGAATCTAGTCCTCAAAGACGAAGGAGCAACAAGACTGTTACTAATAGCTACATTTCTCTTTGTGATTCCTGATTGTGTTTAATCTTTAATTTTAGGTGTGCCATGTGAATTTGGAAGGTCAGCCATTTTACTCCAAGAAGGATAAGCCACTGTGCAAGAAACATGCTCATGCCATCAATGTCTAAAAGAAGACCTGGAAGTCAATGGCACTGGGAGAAAATTGGCAACTAACTGAGAAATTGCAAAAAGGATAACCCCAACTGACATTTCTCATTGAGGGAAGGGGAGGAAGGCTAGGAAGCTACTGAACCCTTCTGAAGTATAATTTTAATCACTTTTATATTTGCAGAACACCTTTTTGCATGGTCCATACAGAAAGCTGAATGAACACTCAACGGCAAATTGGTCAATCCGAGTCAAATATTACTGCAAAACAATATTAGAACAAAAATTAAAGGGATTAAAATTAATTTTAAAAAATGTTTTATGTAAAAATAAGTAATAGAAATACCCAGACCAGCCTTAGAGCTGAGACCATACACTAGTGTTTAAAAACAATTGAAAAATCATTCTTGAAATTTGTTACAAGAAAATATTAAGTGCCAGAATATTAATTGTAAAAGAATTTATAGAATCTTAGCTTTCAAATTAAGATACGTAGATCAGAATTTCCTCACCAAAAAGGAAGTTTTATTCCATTATTTATGTCATGGTGCTACCTCCAAGCATCAATTTTTTTGACTTTTGAATGAACGAGAGACATCCCATAGGTCAGGGGTTCTCAACCTTTTCCTTTCTGAGGCCTCCCTGACCCCAATATGCTATAAAAGCTCCACGGCCCATCTGGGCCACAACAACAGTTTTTCTGCATATAAAAGCCAGGGCCGGCATTAGGGAGTAGCAAGCAGGGCAGTTGCCTGAGGCCACACGCCACAGGGGGCTCCATGAAGCTAAGTTGCTCGAGCTTCAGCTTCAGCCCAGAGTGGCGGGGCTTGGAGCAGCGAGGCTTCGGCTTTCTGCCCTGGGCCCCAGTGAGTCTATTGCCATCCCTGCTTGGCAGACCCCCGAAACCTGCTCGTGGCCCCCCAAGGGGCCTCACACCCTGGTTGAGAACTGCTGCCATAGGCTTTCCCAAACAAGAAGTTTGTCTTGAATCCTAATAGAACTACCATGCTAAGAAGGAGACAGTGAGTGACCGAAAGTTTGGGAATCAGAATAAAAATTCGATGATGCTAAGTCCTTCCACCCACGCCCAACAGCATTGAGACAAAATTTTCAGTTAAACCTTGATCAGTGCATGTGGCCTTGTGCACGCACAGTGGATTATTTCATTTTCTAATCAGAGTGGAAAAAGGGAACTGGCTTTCTCTAATTTTCTCTTATATGGAATGGGCAAGGGGTGGTTGGAAAGGATCCAGGTTGTGTTTCTAGTCAAAGCTGATTCATCTTTCCATTTGTCCTGTGAATGGAAAACATCTAGTTACTACTTTTTTAACACTGCAGACCCAGCCTCCATTTAGCACAGCTAGGAAGGGTAGGAGTGGAAAATAGCCTGGGAAGGTTCTCGACTCAATCCCAAATCCTTGGAAAAGGGGCACCCTTTTTTCTTCCTATTAATGTTAGTGAAAACTGATAAAACACTTCATAGAGCAGCACGAAATCACAGACACATGCTCTTATTACTGTGATTATTTTCTGTCAACGCAACACATCCCAAGTGTGGTTGTGGTTGCTGCTGTGAGAAGATACATAGGCTCTTACACATAAGATAGGGTTAATATATCACCTGTTCTAATATTTTAAAATCATCTGACACGTTCTTGCAAGTATTTTTAAAAGCTTATATATTCTTGTGAAAGGCAGCAACGATTTATAGGACTGACATTAGCTTTGGATTTTAAAATTTAAATATCAGCGATAGTTTATTGCTGTTCAGTAGTGAAAGATAATCATACTTAAGGACAGAAATTTCCATCACTCTTCAAGTTTTCAGCTATTTATTTTTGAGCGAGCATTCTGATTCTATAGTGATTGACAGCATACCGTATTGACAATGTTAAGTCAATATTTCTCAGACTCCAGCTACCCAAGGATGTAATGTATGGGCCCTATTTTAATGCCACCAGCACCCCAGTGTGTCTTGAATTTTTGCACAGTCTAAATATAAAAGTGGATCATTTGGTGGCTGTCTTTTCCCTCCTAAAATTCTATGCCCATTTTACGAAACATGCCATATTTTCTTAGAGGATGAAGAGCATATCCAGTTGGTGGTAGGAGGGTCAAAATAAAAGGAACTTTTATCTCTAGTATGCAAGTTTCTAGTATGCTAACTACCCTCATATATCCTGAAAAAAAATAGTGCCTAAGTTAAAACTGTCCTCTGGCAGCCCCGAGTTGTATGACCTGTATTTATGCCACAGAGAATCTTGTTTTCACAGATCTTAGCATTTTCACAAGGGTCAGATTTTTACATAGATGAAGTGTATTCTTAAACAGTTTTGCCAGCATATTAGGTGCAAATATTTTTTTTCTATAGTAGGCAATTCTTTTTCCATTTATTGGCTTGATCTTCAGCTGGTGTAAATCAGCATAACACCACTGACTACTCCTGCCAAGGATCTGGCTCATTGCATTCTCCAACAGGATAAGATACAATTAATTGAAAAAACACACCTCATTTTATGTTCATATTCGATTTTTGTTCCCAAGACACTGATGCAGTGTTCTTGTGTCTACCAGTGTTGCTTTTCAAAAATTGCAAGCCCTTTCAAGACTTTAGTGCCATTTGACAAATGATAGTGTTTATCACTCTTTATTACTTAGCAGTAGAATTAGTAGCAGGATCTACGGTACACTATGGGTAGACAACATTGCAGCAGCTCTGTCGGGTGGTTTTTGTGTATTGCCTGCTGGCAGGGATTAGCGGCTAGGATGATGTCTACGCTACAAACACTACAGCAGCGCAGCTGCAGCTACACTGCTGTAATGCTGTAGTGTAGACATTTACTTTAGCAATGGAAGGGGGGTTTCCATCACTGTAGTAAATCCACCCTTTTGAGAGGGTCAACAGAAGAAGCTTCCGTTTATCTAGCTGCAGCTACAGTAAAGGTTAGGTTGACCTAATGTCACACAGGGCGTAAAATTTTTCACAGCCCTGAGTGATATAGCTAGGTCAACCTATTTTAGTTAGAGACCAGCCTAAGCAGTAGCAAACAATACATTTCCTATTTTGACCTACATTGCTTTCTAATATGATCCAAAAATAAGGAATCCAGTTACCCACCCTTGAAATCAATATTTAGACACCTTTTTGGACAAACCTCAGCCAGAAGCTGGTGCACGGTAGTGTACTATTTTGAATCTCTTTTATGTAAAATACTATGTAATCAACTTGAGTAATCAACACTCCTAGGACAAATAAGATACATATGCATAACTTTGAATAGGACCCTTACATTATATATCACTACTGTAACTGCTGCAGAAAAACATAATTTTCAGGTTGAATAATGTGTATTATTGTTTATGTCTTGTAACAATTACCTGGGATTAAGTCATAAGACTTCCTAAAGTAATTTTTCATTCTAATTCACATGAGAAATTTTGCCTAGAAGACAAAAATACTGTACCTCTGAATGGCCAAATGATAAAACTCTACAAGAATTATGGTTTTTTATCAAAAGATTTGCAAAAGAACCCATCTTAAATCTAATTAAAAATAGTCTTTAATCTCTATGCAGCTGAAAGTTCAAAAAATAAGCTTAAGACTGGTTATATTGTTTTTTCTTTTTCTATTTAATTGTAGCATAGAAAGTAAATTGAACACTTCAAAAGAAAACTTCACTGTAACTGTTGAAAAATTCTCTCAACTTCTTAAAATAATGGTTAGTTTTTTGGTTCATCAGATTCACACAGACAGAAAGAAATTCAACCAAAATAAGAAAAATCATTTAAGTTTGGTCCTTCAGTGGTCAGTGACATGGGTGAAATGTTTTATTTAAGGTTATTTCTTTTTATATTTAATAATGTGAATGTCTACAGCACTAAACACACTTATTAGTGTCTAATGCTGGACAGTACAATGTTTATTTGCAATACTTGTCTCCTAGTAGTAGACATTAATTTGTTTAGTATTTATAAATGGTTACATTTGCAACTGAGTGATTTAATGCCTGCAGCGATCATGCTAGGAGTCTAGCTTTTATAATATACTGAAATGTTGACTTTACACCACAAGTGCCCTTGGTTTTAGATTTTTTTAAAGTCTCTAGTTATTAGTTCAGAAACAGATTGTAGTGTGGATTTTGAGGTGTGAGTGAACATATCTTGCATGGATTATCTGTGCCAATATTCTAGCAATAAAAGGGATGTGCAAATACATTTAGAGCTTTATGTTTTGGATATATTTATTAATATGGTTTTTCAGCAGTTGACAGCTTTCAGCCAAGAAATGCTAGTTAGGAGACATAAGTAAATTTATATTTTCTATGTCAGAGCCTTAAGATTTAAAAAAATTGATTGGTTCAGCCTTCCATTGCTGCATAGCAATACTGAACATGCTGGTAAGTAAATTGCAGTGTGTAAACAAACAAATGTGAGTATATTCAAAAGATGTAGTGCCTAGAAGTTGTAACTGGGCAAGACTTGTAAATTTACAGGCCTTATTGTGTCAGCAGATGTTACTTAAAATAACCTGATAAGCAAGAGGCAAATTTTGTCCTCAGTTACAAAGGTCAGAACTGATTTACATTGGTGTAATTGAGGGCAAAGTTTGGCCCCAACTAGGCAGGTTTTTATTCTTTTGTTTCTAACCAGAAATGGTTTTTTAGACTATTCAAAAAAGATCTAACCCATCTGATTTAACTCTACTGCCATGACAGACTGGCAAATAATAAATAAATCTTCAGATAATATTGTGGTTTATTAAAACAGGCTTTTTTTGCACATTATTAACCCCCTCCCCTCAAAATGCACAGTTTTAAAATGACATAGCTATAGCTAATCATTAAACTTGATAAAAACATATATATAAAACAGTAAAGGGACAGACCGCTTTAAATGCCATTAATGAGTTCCACATCAGGAAGTGAAGCTCCGTACACTTTCATTTTATTTTACAGACATAACTGTTTACAACTTATGTGTGGAAAAAAATTAGAGCTAGTTAAACTGAAATTAAAATTTACTGGAAAATGAGTCTACAGAATGAGCAGAAGTTACACAATTTACCTTTATATCAGAATCACTGTCTAATTATTTTTATCTTGACCTTTTCCCGTTTGCATTAATTGATTCTTAATGGAAGAGAAATTGTGCTTTGTCTGCACTAAAGATGCTCTATAGTTTCAAATCTGGGGTTTTTCTTTGTAAATCATAAAGTCTTTAACTCAACCAGAGACACTGGTGACTAACTAAGAAAGAAAAAGAGGAGCTGTGAAAAAATTGCCTCCAGCCACCCTTGGATACACAATGAAATGCTTTGTTCTCCTGGCCAAATCAGAGAGCTATGGCTGAGACTGAGATTAGAGATAGGCTGAAATTCCCTGCTTTAAGCCTATAAAGCATGTCTTTAGACATCTATAAAGGTGAAGTCCTCACTTCTCTGAGGAAGAACTGAGAGAAAACATTAGCTACACTAACAAACTTGTTGCATTACAGACTAAATTGTAAAGAATTCTAACATTATTTCCCCCAACTTTTTGTAGTAACAAATGTCACATGTACAGCTCAATCCTTAAGACCGCCTTGCTATTTTGTTGACAGAGGGACTCCTCATCTTTCTCTGGCATGTGTTTAGCCCCGTAAAAGGAGTGTGTGTCCAATGAGCTGCAAGGATCTCAGGACACCTGCATAGGACAGGATTCTGTGTATGGAGCTATAATACATGTAACAGCAGGAGCTGTGTTATCAGCCCATGTTCCACAAAATCTTCCTCTGATGGATTTTCCAGGTGTACTGCTCTAATTGGACATTTGTCTGGACCCAAGTAAAGCATGCCACAAAGATTGGCTGCTTCCCAACTCTTCATTACATGAACCTCAGGGCCCTGGAGCCTCTGTGAAGTGGTGGGGCCTCCATGCTGTGAGGGACCAGGGAAGCATGCAGGAAAGCCATTGCTATACCCTCATTACTCTTTTGGGGTCTTCTCTGGGATATTTTGCTTTCCTCTATACTGTGTTGCAGAGGAAAGAATTCAGAGTAGCAGCCGTGTTAGTCTGTATCCGCAAAAAGAAAAGGAGTACTTGTGGCACCTTAGAGCTCACGAAAGCTTATGCTCAAATATGTTTGTTAGTCTCTAAGATGCCACAAGTCCGCCTTTTCTTTTTTTAGAGGAAAGGAATGTGGCCCTCAATCCTTCCTCTAACAGAACGCCTCTTAATATCCATAGTAGTTTTGCCCAAGTAATGACTTTCAGATTGGCCTGCAGACTTTTTTAGGTAGTAATGACAACCAGAAATAAAAAATGCCTTCATAAGAGAAAAGATTCTTCCAAATTTCCACAGATTTTAATTTTCAGGAAGGAATTGATTCATCTGCAGAAAAAAGAATAATTATTAATTTGAAATTAAATATCTGACTTATAATTCTACCTTATTTTTCCCCACCAAGAAAAGCATTTTCCAGTTTAATCACCGGTACTTAAAAAAGCTACTCACTTTCAAAATTCAGATTCTTTTTCATTAATGGAAACAAAGTATGGAATCATTTTTTCTTTTACTAAGTGCCATGCTTTTATGGAAGCCATTGGGGAAAAAAACAATTGAATTACTTTAGCTAAACTGATAACTACTTTTTTAAGGAGCTGGGGGTAGAAAGGAGGGGTCAGTTTGAACAAAGGGGATGGTTCATCGAAGGATGTATGTGGAATGAATATTGCCTGTTATAAAAAGTCCACACAACTGTGGTTGTGGCAGTGTATTAAATAGCTTATTCTGGATTTTTAAGACTCAAGAAAGTTGTTGGTTTCTTTTTTTTAAAAAGGGTAGAGTGGGGGGAAAGCACACAAAATGCAATATCTGTTACTTCCAAGGCAGTTGAAAAAATTACAGTTCAGAAGAGCAAAGAGTTGGTATAAGGGGAAAAGATTATTTAGTGGGCTTCAACAATATTATTGTCTGAACATATGTTAATTGGAAAATTAATATTCTTTATGATTAAGATTTAGTTTAGTTTAAACTAAAAGGGTGTAATTTGTTTAAAGTAAGTGTGCACATGCATATATATGTAAGGTAGGCATATGTGTACTACAAGGGAAATATTCAGAATTGAGGCATGGACTCCTTTATGGGGGATGCAGTTTATGCATGCAAAATTTGAGCATGCATTTTTGCACTCAGAATTAATTACATGTGGAAATCTGAGTACACAAACTTTTAACTACCTGATTTGTACCCGTGGTCAGGTAGGTAGAGATTTGTGGTTTATGATGTAGTGACTTTTTATACATTTGTGGCTGCAACATAATTGTAGGAGCAAAAGGAGGGGCATACTTTTAAAGATTTGGCTCTATATGTAAAATATTACCTTAGGAATAAAAAAAGTTTTCTTATAATAACAAAAGGCAGGGATATTATTTCAGTCATTATTTTCACAAGGCATTTTTTCTATTCTCAGGAAGTATTTTACTGTGTAAACTTCATCAGTGAGCACAAGGTCCTATCTGGCATGCCATACTCTGGGGAAACTTCCATTGTATTCAGTGGAAAATTTTTATGAGTGAGGAGTGCAGGTTCAAGTCCCCTGAAAAAGCAGAGATACCTAGTGGTCTGAGCATGGAACTGGAAGGCAGAGTCTCCCTTAGTTATATAATCTTGGCTCTGCCCTCACTGTGTGGCCTTAGATCACTTAATCTCATTGTGTGTATTTTCCTATCTGTAAAATGGGGATAACACTACTTACTTTGCACACTATTAATAAAAAGTGTTAGCAAGTGAATGATAGAAAAGAACTCTGAAGCGGAAAAGTTGCTATGCAAGTGCTGAATAATAATATTTACTCATATGAGAGTACCCCAGAATGATTTAGCTAAAAAACAAACAATTTTGCCTCTTGTATTTCCTAAAAATGTAGTTATATTTGTTACATTTTAATACTCATTAAAATATATCTTAACAGAGAAGACCCTTACACCAGGCTGTCCAACTTGTTCTGATTAAAAATGTGAGGAATCCCTTAAAAGGAAACTGAAATTATCTTTAATAAACAAATACAAACAATTATGTATGATCCTAAATAGTTCAGAAAATACATGAGCTTATATGAAAATATTTTTAAACAAAATATTTTAAAATAGTTTCCTCATTTATCTGCCAGCACCTGAGTTCAGGTTTGGCTTGCAACAGCTAATACCATCTGATGTACCCATTGCAGAATAACAAATTAAGGTTCCTGCACTTTAAATGTGATATTATTAGCTCCTTCAGGAGACACACGCAAGCCTGAACCAAAGTCTTGGCAGGTTAAAACAAACAAACACCCATGGATTCCATTAAGCTCGATTCAGCTACTCTGACCAGTACTGTTCAGTGTAAGGGCAGAAAATTCACACTATTACTGATTTTGGAATTTAAACAGATATTCTATCTCTTAGTTTGATAAAAAACATTTCAGTTTATTTTCAGTAGTGTCAATATTGTCTAATAATATAACACATAAGGGGCAAAGAGTATGTACAGTGATTCTCCATTGCCTTGCATGTATAATATGCCTAGTGAAGTGCCAGTGTTCCAAAGAAACACAGCCACTTAGGCCAGTTCTATACTGTGAACTATGCTAAGTTCCAGGAACTTAAAACTGAACACCTGCCATCAGAGAAGGCATCCTGGGGAAACAGTCAAATAAAAATATAAATACGAGAGACTTAAAATGCAAAAGAAAATCGCTTTTTGAGATGATAGTTAGCCATCTATTTTGGCCTTTCCTTTTTCATCACAGGATAACACACTGTAAATGAATTAATGGTGAAAGGTTCAGTAAAAGCCTTTAGTAAGGAAATAGGAGCAGTGTATCAGGATATCCCTTTTCCGCACCAGAGTACCCAATACTTTCAATTTTATACACAACGGAAGTAATTAATTGTAACAGAAAGAAGCACAGCTGTGTTTCCTGATGGCCATACATGCAACAGCCACTATTGTTTAAGGTTCTGAGAATGTGTGTTGAAAATTGCTCAACTGCCTTGAGATTTTTGTTGTTCTCTGAATTTAATTTCTAGTATAAGCTTTTGAATTTGTTATGGAATGGTTAATACTATTGTTAACATTGTTAATACTATTCTCTTAAGGCCAAATCCTTCATCCTTTAATCAGGCAAAACTTCTTTAAACTTCAGTGGAAGTTTTACCTCAGTAAGAATTAAAAGCCAAATCCTGAGAGGTGCTGAGAACCTGTCAACTCTCGTGGAAGGCAATGGAAATTGCAAATACTCACCATCAGTCAGGATTTACTCCCAAATAAGGATTGCAGGATTTGGCTCTTAGTCGTGTGTCTTTTGAACTTGTTCAGATTTCATTTCCATGTGTGTGCAGGTGAATGTGTTGGATTGAAAGCCTGAGAGAATAAAGGTTATATTTTTTTGCCTTCAATAATTTTTTATTATGCATTTCAAACACACAACATGACTACTGTATTTCTCCTAAAAATTACTTGGCAGAACCGAAAGCATCGTCACTTTTCTTTTTTTTAATGCAGTTGAGCTGTACCATTTTGTTTGTACTATTTTTGGTAATATTATAGAGTGCATGTTGTAGAATGAATGACTGCAGATGATTTCCCAGCACTAGAGAGGGCAATTTGTGAAGAATTATAAATCTCTTGGAAAATGCGAAGGATTTGCATGCACTATGTACTGTACTTCTACATGTATGAACAAAGAGATGGTCAGATCACTTAGGTGCATATATAACTGTAGTAATACATTTGTGGTTAACGATATGTTTACAATGATAAAGATCAAATAACATTTAAGGGCTTGAGTCATTAAAAATTCTGTGCTGCACCTGGACTCTGATCTGTTTCATTCCAACAAGCATGTAACAAATTGCATTCATGAAGTTTACATCTTTTCAATCTGGTAAGCCTCTATCTTCTTAAATCTTTCTACACTAGGTAACTCACCTATTGCTCACCATGGCTGTCAGCAACAGGTCACGCAGAACCAGAGTTAAAAACAATGTTACTGCTAGAGCAGTTGAGGACACAGCCATTTTCAGCATATATATCATGACAAGAGACCACACTTTTTGTAACGGTGCTGAAAAATTGTTCTGGCCCTTGCACAGTAGCAATTAAACCATTTTTAACGTTGGTTCAGGGAGACCTGTTACTGACATAGTCAGCAACAAGTGACTTCCTTGGTATAAAAGAGGCTTACAGGAATGAAGGTTTACTATTGTTAGCAACAGTGGATGGGGCATTAACATGTTTTGCTGATGGACTCAAGGAGTATGCAACCTTCTACAAGAGACTTACAGGTACCGTAACAAGAGGTGAAGTGAATGTGCAATCAGAAACAGATCTTAGGCAGTTAAAAGTTTACTCATTCTGGGTCAAATTTTGCTCTGGTTTTTACTGACTGTAAACGCCAAACAATTCCCATTAAGTTCAAGGAAGTTACTTTGGATTTAACACAATGCTGTATGGTTAACTACATGCTCATTATCATTATAATGTGTAGTTTTTGAAGTATGATCTGTATAACAGTGGGTGAGGCCAGGATTATACAGATAACCGTTTCTCTAAATTTGGATTTACTATATCTCAATCTTTGAATTTTATTAGCTCACTTGATAGACAAGCATATTTTCCTTGAAAATTGTGCCTTCATGTTACATTTATAAAAAGATGTAATTTCCAAGACAATATATTCACAAAAGAAACAACTTTGGGCCAACTTATGTAGCAATACTACACATAGCAAAAAAATAGTCCTAAGCATAGCTGCACTCACTACACACAGCGACAAACCCCTTACCTATTTTTTTCATCAGGAGAAGGAGCTATCTTAATTAAAACAGACTTGTAGAGCATCTCCTTAATAAAGTGGTAATAATTCAGAAGATCACCTATTTTAAAATTAGTGCTAGAGTTCAGCTGTAAAGAGTTTATTCTCCCCTCAGTGCATACAAAGAACCTATAATAATGCAAATGCATTTTATTACTGAAGAGAGAACATACCACTAATTCTGTGAACCTGAAACTAATATGTTGGTATCAGATGAATACTTGAGAGAAGCCTTAGTACCAGCTGGGTTCATAAATGATGTTCCTTACCTAAAAGTCATTTGATGCATGATGTATGTGGTGGTAGAGAACAGAGCTAAACAGGGCTAGATGGTGCCAATTAGGCATAGCCCACAGCAAAGGACATCATGGAGCTACACTCACTAAGGGATAGTACTGGGAGATTTTCTGCTACAAGGAGGCAGAATGCCTCCCAGAGCCCCTTGGCACACATGGGCAATGCTCTCACCACTCTACTTTTTTGTGGGGTACAGCTTACTCCACTACATGGCCAGCAAGCTCTGCTGGTGCGTATCTGGGCAAAAAGCCATGCTTTTGTCTCCCTCCATTCTCTTTGAGGCATCATTTGCCACCCCACAATAATGGAGAGGGAGTATTCTCTCCATTCCTTATGTCTTCTGTGCATGGCCCAGGAAGAATCTGGTTCATGTAAACACACCTGGTAGCGAAGCAATGCAAAGGTATCTTTCCCTTTCATTCTCCCTATGCAAAGCACACCAGGCTGTTATGACTTATGACATGTTTCTTCCTAACCTACGCCACCTGTGTTGCACTTTTAGTTCCACTGCAGACTTGTCTGGAATGAAGCTTGGCTAGTGCTGTTTCAGAGACCCCTTACCATATGAATAAGCTTGCTTTATTTTTAGTCATGCTTCAAGAGTAGTAACCTTTGAAAAGCACCTTTACTCATGAATTTCAGCCCGGTTTCTTGAATTAATTATACTGCTCTCATAATAATATTTATTCTAATCATTGGTAGTTCTAATTAGTGGACAAATGCAATTAATTTATAATTGAGCTGTTGTGCTTTCACATAAAACAATTCAGAAAAAGACAGGTTACTAGACAGGGCCAATTTAATGTCATTTTTGAAGTTGAAGAAAAAACACCTGAGTGTGGGATAATATTAATGTGGAACATGGGGTATTTATTTTGGTAACAATATATGTTTGCAATTATAAAGATCAAATAACATGGAAGGGCTTGATTAATTAAAAATTCTGTGCTTCATCTGTACAGCACTCTGATCTGTTTCACTTCAACAAACATGCAACAAAATTACCTCTTTAAAGTTTACATCTCTTCAGGCTACTAAGCCTTCATATTCTTAAACCTTTCTATGCTAGTTGGCATGCTTGTTGGCAACAGGTCGCCCTGAACCAGTTTCAGAGTGTCTGGAGTGTGTACCACACTGCATATTTTGGAAGTATGAAGGGAAGAAGGATATACAGATATACTCTGCTCATACAGGTTTCAGAGTAGCAGCCGTGTTAGTCTGTATTCCCAAAAAGAAAAGGAGTACTAGTGGCACCTTAGAGACTAACCAATTTATTTGAGCATAAGCTTTTGTGAGCTACAGCTCACTTCATCGGATGTATTCAGTGGAATCACTGTATTTTCCACTGAATGCATCCGATAAAGTGAGTTGTAGCTCACGAAAGCTTATGCTCAAATAAATTGGTTAGTCTCTAAGGTGCCACTAGTACTCCTTTTCTTTCTGCTCATACAGTTGACCTTATCTCTCAATATATATATCTTTTTCTTGAAGGTTTTTTCATATTTAAGATTTTCAGGGCCCAAAGCGATTCCAAGAACTAACAAACAATTCCTGGAGAGGAAATGACAGAGAAAACACCTGGAAGTGTATCTAGTCTATAAATGTATATATATATAAAAAAAACATTTTCTACACAGCTCCCTTAATCTCTGCAACATGACTATCCACCTTGAGCTGGTCCTACTGTACTTCACCTGGGGTCCCTACATCCCCAAGTGTAGGGTGCCCATATGTTCCTGCTCTCGGAGCCTGCCTCAGTGTTTCTGAGACTCTGTTATCAAAATAAATACCCATTTTATTAAAGAGTGGGGTTTCCCAGTTTTTGCACACTCCTACAGTCTTGAGTCACTGGCCAGGTGAGTTTATGTTATTGATAACTGGAGGGCTGCATGCATATATGCCTCGTTGACCAGATACTACTCATGGTGCTCACAACCAAGTGCCTGGTGTAAATAGATACAATATAAGAATGGCCATACTGGGTCAGACCAAAGGTCCATCCAGCCCAGTATCCTGTCTACCGACAGTGGCCAATGCTAGGTGCCTTCGAGGGAGTGAACCTAACAGGTAATGATCTAGTGATCTCTCTCCTGCCATCCATCTTCACCCTCTGACAAACAGAGGCTAGGGACACCATTCCTTACCCATCCTGGCTAATAGCCATTAATGGACTTAACCTCCATGAATTTATCCAGTTCTCTTTTAAACCCTGTTATAGTCCTAGCCTTCACAACCTCCTCAGGCAAGGAGTTTCACAGGTTGACTGTGCGCTGAGTGAAGAAGAACTTCCTTTTATTTGTTTTAAACCTGCTACCCATTAATTTCATTTGGTGGCCCCTAGTTCTTATATTATGGGAACAAGTAAATAACTTTTCCTTATTCACTTTCTCCACACCACTCATGATTTTCTATACCTCTATCATATCCCTTAGTCTCCTCTTTTCCAAGCTGAAAAGTCCTAGCCTCTTTAATCTCTCCTCATATGGGACCCGTTCCAAACCCCTAATAATTTTAGGTGCCCGTTTCTGAACCTTTTCTAATGCCAGTATATCTTTTTTGAGATGAGAGGACCACATCTGTATGCAGTGTTCAAGATGTGGGCATACCATGGATTGCTATGAACTTTTGTCTACGTGCAAACCCTCTTTTTAAACATACTACTTTGGACCTATAAATAATGGGCCAGATTCTCACATCACTTATGTAGGTTTTACACAATTGTACCTCCATTAACTTCAATGGCATTATTTCTGATTGACATCTTTGTGAAATCAGAGCCATGCTTATTGAATCTTTCCAATCATTTGCTTTCCATCTGATTTTTTTTTTACTCATAAACATCACAAACCCAGCCATTTGAGTAACTTTCTGTGCAAAGGTGTCTGACATTGATTTAGACCCAGATTTACCTCCATCTCATGCAGCCCTGACATTATTCTAATGCTATTTTCTTATAGTGTGTTCCATTTTATTATTATATTTAATATTTATGAAAGATGCCACATTACCTGAACCCTCTATTTATCCAGAGAATAAGTACAATGTGCGCAATGGCAACACAAACTTAATCCACAACACAACATGTGCTTCAGTCCTGACTGGGAGGGACCACTTCAGGCATATTCAGTGCAAGACTATTCCAATGAGCGCCCTAAAAGATCCCCTTTCCAGTTGCAGTTTTTGTGATGTATAAATCTGCTCAACAAAGAACTGGATGAAAACCAGATATACAGTTCACATACAGCATCAAACAGATGTTCAATGTTAGCAGCTTTTGGTCATTAGGAACCTATATTGGATTTGAATCAACCTATGCACGAAAGGCTCAGTATCACATTATCTCACAGCTTATTACTTTACAAAAGTATTGTTAAGCCTGCTGCCTTAAAGTTAGCTCTAGCAGTTGTGCTTTGGGTTGTGAGAACACATGCCTGTCACATTTTTCTCTGCTGTCTGTTTTGTTGTTATGAGCAGATAGGCAGAGTGGAGGAACTGCATGCATATATCAATAATTTCAAAGAAAAAGTGTACCTGGGTTTCTGGGTTCTATACTGCCCAGTGTAGAAGCTGTGATTTTGTCTGTGCTGTAGGCTGTTCTCATTTTGGGTGCTGACAAATTTTTCTGGCACATGGACAAAAGGCAGGATGTTTCTGAAAATCTAAGAAAATAAGGTTTGCATTTCTATTGTGTCTCACACCACAGTATTTAGTCACCTAGACACATTTTTAAAAGTGTGCATTTGTGTTCATGTAAAAAAAAAAAAAAAGGCTGCAAAGGCATTAGGTTTGAAATGATACCTTCCTCTTTGCTTTCTAGAGTAGGTTAACGTGATACAAGTACTCACCTCACAGTTCTGACTCAATCAGGGTCTAAAATATACATGAATTGTGCTGTAAAGCCTGAACTATTATCTCAGATCCACAGGTAGTAGTTATAAGCTGGAGTGCAGAATGTATATAATTCTAATACCAACAAATGGAATAGAGCTACACTGTGAAGTGGACACCACACCATGCATGCTAGTGTTTCCCACACAGTGTTTGTGTAAGACCGTCTGCCACCCATAAGTGTCTTCACCACACTTTCCAATCAGCTGCTTGCTGGAAAGAGTTTGTCTGGGTAGGCATCCATCCTGCCAGCAGCAAATGCTGTGTCCTAAGCAGTGCTCGGTTCAGTTGTAAAGGGAAACTGAGTAGGTCTGTGCAATTTTAGTTTTCCTTTGCAGTAGGCTACGCATATAAAGCTCTTGACATAAATAGAAACTGAATACTTCTAATCACCTTTCTTCTGCAACGTTAAGGTGTAAATCCTATCTCTACTCTGCAAGTGCACAAGGCCCTGCCCACAGTGGAACTGGTGTAGTTCTGGGGTGTGTGGCATAGAATGCTTGGAGTCCAAGTGGGCAGTGTGCCCCTCTACATGTCACACAGTGCAACACCACCAAGGCTCCTTCTGAGTGGCTGTACCAGTGGTTGGGAAGCACTGATTGAAGACAGACAGCATCTTGCTAATAATGAGGAGCTGAGAAACTCAATGCAAAGAATGGCCTTTGGCAAATTCACCAGTAAGCAAAGCATCTCACTTGGGAGGTGAAAGGGGTAAGGTGTCTTAGTTGGAGAATTATCTGGACAAACATAAAAGTTGTTCTCCTTCATCCTGTACATAAAGGTTACAACCATATCCTGCCACTTCTCTTGTAACCTTTCCAAAATTCAAACTTTCCTTCTCCCACAGCTAAAACCCTTGTCCAGGCTTCCATCTTGCTACTATAACCACCTCCTCTTGGCCACTCTGACATGCACGTTGCTCCCTTTGAATCCATCCAAAGCACAGCTGCTAACATAACCTTCAGAGCTCTTTGAAACCTTGGATTGACTCCGTTTTCCGCTGCATCAAGTCCAAACTTATTCTCCTCCTTCAAAACCACTGATAATTCTTTCTAATGCTGCTTTCACCTCCCAACATATCACTACCTCTGCTCTGCTAAGGATGTTGGCCTCACACAGCCATTTGGCCACTTCCCCTTGCTGGAACACCCTCCTATACTGATCTGGAAGGCCACCTGCCTCTCTTCTTTGGAGGCAGCATAGGAGATCATCCTAATGGGTGTTGGTTTGGGCAGTTATGGAGAGTTGAAGTGATATATTTAAAACAGTGCATGTCTTTGCTGGGGCCTGGAGCACCCTGCAATACCAACAGGCCCTGCTAGTAACCGTGGGAGTGAGTGGGTGGTGGCGGGGGTGGCAGAGTATTTGGGGCAACACAGAGGGTCTTTATGAGGGAGCAAGGGTAGTTTGTGCTGCTGGTTGAGGGAGCAGAAAGACCCAGGATCCTGTCAGTTCATCTCAAGGAACTCCCTGGGGTAACCCCTTGGCAATCATTATCTTGGCGATCTCCAAGCACTGGACTTCGGGGGATGGGGAGTTGGTGATCTCCCAGAGCTCAGGTTGTGCGTGGGCCAAGAGGGGGGTAATCTCGAGCACCCGGGGTGCGGGGAGGGACGGTTGCCGGTCTCCCAGCTCTCGGGATTCCGGTCTCCGGGCGGGGGAGTTTACTGGTCTTCGCACCGAGGGGGCGGGGCGGCGCGGCGCGGCGCGGCGGTTGGCGGTCTCCGAACGCTGGGGGCGGAGGAGGGGGGGCACTGGCGAGCTCCTCCGAGCGCTTGCGTGTCAGGGGGCGGGCGGGCGAGAGGGAAGCCTTCGGGAATCTCCGCCGAGCAGCGCTCGGCTCCCCGTGGGAGGCACTGGTAGTAGTTGGAGGTTGGCGGCGCGTGAGGGCGGTGGTGTCCCAGGGGTGCGAGTCCCGAGCGAGCCAGCCTGGCCGCGGCGGTTGCGCGCTCCGCCTCCTCCTCCCCTCCGTGGTGCTGGTTGCAGTGATTGGAGTCCTGCTCCCCCTCCCGCACACAGAGGGCTCTGGCCGGGCGTCGGGATTGCGCCGTGTCCCCTCTCCTCGCGCCCCCGCCTTCACCCCCACCGTCTAGCCGAGCCGCGTGAGGCCAGGAGCTGCTCGTAGTGTGACACGGGGAGCGACCCCCAGCGAAGAGAATGACGGACCCCTGCGACGGGTGAGTGGGGAGTCCCGGGGGGCCGCGAGGCCCAGTGCGCCTTCGCGGGGCTGGCTTCTCCCGCGGAGCTCCCGCAGCCTCTGGCTGCCGGGGAAATGGCCCCCCCGGGGTGCACCGATGGGGGCACGTTGTGGTGCGCCGGGCCGGCGGAGGGATGCGCGCGCTGGTCGCTAGCTATCGCCGGGGCCCCCGTCCCACCGGGGGTGCGCTGAGGGGCTGGGCCCTACTCGCGTTCACGGCCGTAGCCACCTCTGCCGCCGGAGCCCTGGGTGCCGCGGCCACCCTGCGCGTCGTGCCCCCTTCTGCTGCGGGAACAGCCCCCTTGGCAGCGCTCGTTCTCGCTGCTTTCACCCTGGGCCGGGCGCTGCCTGAGCGAGCTAACGTGGCGCGCGACAGTAACGTTATTTCCAACGCTCCTTTGCTCCCTGCTCCCGGGGTGCTGGCGCCGCTCGGCAAAGCAGGCCCCAGTGCTGCAAGTGTGCGCATTGTGGGTGGGCCCTTGCAGTGACGCAGAGGGCCCATGCAAGTCAGTGGGTCTCTGCATGGGCACAGGGGTCGGCCAGTGCGAGGCCACTTGCGAGATTGGAGCTTTACGTGTTTCTCTGCTACAGTGGCTTCTCCTCCCCCCATTTTGGTGATGTAATTTCAGGCTGGGTGCTATACAATCTATACTGGTGCAAGAGGAGTCTCATAATCACTGGCACTACTTAGGTTAGTAAGGGCTTTCAGGAAGGGCCTTTAATTTCTCCCCGTGGGAGGTGTTTTTAAACAAAAGTTATGTTGCATCGTTTCTTTTAAACCCATAATTCAACAATTAAACATTAAAACATCTAATAGTTTCTGTACTTCAGGAAAATGGTCTGTTAGGTTTTAGGATGCATATCTGTGTAACTGACTACAAAATCGAGAAGAAACGGTTTGGCTAAACAATAACACTTCAGAATCCTTAAAATGGGCGGTATTTAGACTACATTTTGTACCAAGAAACAATATTGCAGAATCTAAATCCAACAGTTTCCCTTGTTCTGCAAGTGAGAGGTTGATCAGATTTTTCACCTTCTGCAAAAAATTAATATGAAAAGATGTTTTGAGAATACATATTTAAGGTGATAATTTTTCAGTGATAACCCAAGAAAAAAACTTACATGACAAGGACTATCATTGGATATAACACTGCACGACAGTGCTGCATGTCCAGAGATTTATTAATACAGTTAATATCAAAGTATGCGCTTATAATTCTGTGATTAAAACTTGGTGGAAATATGTTTACCTTTTTTTTTCATCAGGGTAACATTTTTGACATAGTTGCTTAACAGATGCATATTTTATATTACAAATATTTAAGATCTACCAATAGGGGTTGAGTTTTTGTTTAGCAACTGTGAAGTACTGCACTAAAAGCAAGAACCTGCACCTGTGGGTGTAGATCTTAGTAGGTGCTATTTGACATTCATTTAACATAGAAGATTAATGTATTTGGTAAAGCTAGGGTCTTATGACTTTCAAAAGGAAAACTTACTTCCCTTTCTGTTTATAAATCATGACACCAAAATATATTTTTAATTTTTAGATTGATTTTTCACTGATAAAATATAATCAAGTATTTTAAACTCTAACTACAAGGTAATTTTAAATGATTTTGCAATAAAAGCGCCTACATCAAACCAACTTCTAACCTCCTTGACATTGTGTCGGCAGATATAGCTACATGAACCACAAAAATACTGAATGCAGTAAAAACCTTTAAGGGGGACACGTGTGCTTGTTCCTTGGTTCCGGTATAATCTGGAATCAGGAGTATAAAAATGTATATACTCGAATGTATTCTCTTGATTCTTCTTTTTCCTCCTGTTGGTATGGATATGGAACCAACTGTTTTTAAAAATTATCTGTTAGGTTTAGGCTTTGTGATGGTTAGTTTTCATAGGGTTTTTTTGGGTACTTACTGCAAATGTTCTGTCATGTTTGTTCTGAGTTGTGTTGAGATTTTGTTTTGGCCATGGCAGATGAGAAGAGGTGTGTGGTTGTTTTTTTTTTGTTTTTTTTTTTTTTAATTACCCCAGTATAATGTCCACCATAGATGAATGTTGTTACTGCTTAAAAGTGTTTGGGAGTGGATGTGAAGAGGCTTTTGAATGATCAGGAGACTAGAGCCTGCGTACTTGAGTTTTTGAGATGAGCTATTTTGTAGCATGTTTTGAAGAATATTATTTTGGGTTTAGGTTTAATATAAAAAACCCTTTGCAGTTATAGTTCTAATTTTTTTTGTGAATCAAGGTAAAGGCTGTGCAGGTGTGTAATGTTAAAATATGTTCGGTGAAGGATTTGTTAAGCATGCATATTAACTTCTATTTAAAAAAATAAAATATTGAGAAACTTTGTGTAGACTACATTAACACAAAAAAAAGTGGTTTAAAAAAAGTGTTATTGATATTGCCCCATGGTAGATTAGTGAACTTCAGTTTTACCCTTTGTATCTCTTCGCTTGATAGCTGAAAAATTCCATGGCTTTTTAAGCTGCAGAAGGCCAGAGATGTTGGCTCCACAGCAAGAGCAGTGGTGCAGTTCTCCTGCATGAAAGGGGGAGAAGGCAGAATCCAAGGGTTTGTGCATCCACTGCATGCACCAGTCCTATTTCTGTCAAGAGAAACAGACCCTACTTCACCAACCTCCTTGAAAAAATCCATCCTCAACCCCACTTCTCTTCATGGTTGGCATCTTCGATGAACGAAACAGTCTGTTTTCCCAATAGCAGATAACCAACTATGAATCAATCCAACTGTAGGGCTGTATACAGTACCTTTATGGTATGACTCACTGAAAGGGACTGATAGAGCAGGTTTTTAAAAAAAATAAAAAAATAAAAAATTAAATCTTCCAGGCATTCTTGTGTGAAGCTGCAGCTAGGGAGTTCTCCCTTACTGTTGATTTCTGGGAATGCCCCCCACCATCTTCCAATCCCATGAGGCTCTTTTTTGGGAAGGAGGAACTCAATCATCAAGCCAGTGGGCCTTCCTGTCTTCATCTGACCTCTGAAAATAAACAGTAGTGCGGAAGAACTCAGTAACGTCAAGCCAAATCTCTTGACATTTTTTTTAGTGGCGCAGATGGGTAGCCCACTCCATGGTAGAATATTTGGAGGTTGAGAGGATGCTCAGGGCCTCACTTCCTCCAGTAAAAAGAAAAGGAGTACTTATGGCACCTTAGAGACTAACAAATTTATTTGAGCATAAGCTTTCGTGAGCTACAGCTCACTTCATTGGATGCATTCCGTTGAAGTGAGCTGTAGCTCACGAAAGCTTATACTCAAATAAATTTGTTAGTCTCTAAGGTGCCACAAGTCCTCCTTTTCTTTTTGCAAATACAGACTAGCACGGCTGCTACTCTGAAACTTCCTCTAGTGTTATTCCTAAAAGGCAGGATACTGTGTATGGCAAAGAGAGTTGTTTAATTTGCAGAGCGTTGCGAGGCAGAGTACTTGCTCCTCTAGCTGCAGATCTTCTATGGGCTGATAACTTGGAGGTTTTTTTTTGTTTTGATTTTAAGCAGATTATCCCCATAAAATCTTGATGCTTTGTTTCATCTTCAGTTACCTTACTAACTAACATCTGCACTACTGCCTGGTGACATCAGGTTTCTGTGTTTCCTCTACAATGTCGTTGTGATTCGGAAATGAAAGAAATGATTTTCTCCCACTTTTTTTTTCTTCCTGGTGTTTTGCTTAGAAGCTAAGGTAAAGTCTTCAAAGCTGTTAATGTTCCCAGAAGTGATTAAAATAATTTGAGTTTGAACATGTAAGTCACACTATTTCTGGAAAAGATATTTAATTAAAAACGTAACATAAAAATTGAGACGTACTGAATCTGATATATATGAACCGTATTTAAAAAATGAAAAATAATATTGGGGTGATAAATGCATAATTCTTGGTGAAGATAAGGAAATTAATTGAAAAACTAAATTGAGTCAGTTAATTTCCAGTGGGGGAAAAAGTAGACTGTATTCAGGAACGTGAAGCAATAGCATGGTGTTTCATGGCAGTTCTGTTTAGGAACAGTACACCATTTTTAGTAAATGGCTAAATATGTTATATATTCCTATTAAGGACCCAGTACAGCAATAATTATTTAATATTTTATGCTTCCTCTTCATCAGCCTTAAGTTAAACAAAAACAATAGTTGGCCTACCATAGACGAGGAACAAAACTGAGGAGCTGGTTGCCAGCCTGACAGAATGTGGATATCTCATGCAAACAAGCTTTCCAACATCTTACTGGGTTTATCTTTCTTTCTTATTGGGGCCACACAGTTTGAAAGATTAACTCTAATAATGGAGCTGGACCTCTGGTGATTGAAAAAAAGAGACTCTGATTTAAAACAGGAAAACTTTTATCTTCATGTGGCAGGGTGATACTTAGATTCCTTTTCTCCTGACTTTTGTGAGAGGCTCCCTCCTTGTTGATACTGAGGTACTAAGAGATTACTTCCTCCCTCTCCCTCTCCCTCTTGTCTCTTGAACTACACAGCTTGATAAACTGAAATGCAAAAGACTGGCATGTATTGAGGTTCACTGGACTATAGACTATTGTTGGGAATTTGTATAGTTCATAGTGGTTAATGTGAGAAGATTGGGGATCTTATTAATTGCTACAGTTGGTCTGGGCAGAGTTCAGTTTTTATTTTTTTATAATTCTGACCAATAATATTATTTTTTTTTTTAGCATTTTTATTTGTATCTATTTAATGTTTCACAGTTATGGGAAATTATGTCAGGATCAGACTGTCATAATTATTTTATCACAGTAGATGTTGAGATTGAAAAAGTTAAAGCTTTATAACAGTTAATACAAATTTTCAACATCAGATGTCAAAATACACAAAATAAATATCCTTAAATCAAACTCTAATAATTTCTCAAGCAACATTTTTTCTTTCTTTGCCTATCTATAAATTGATGATTATTGATGGACATTATTTTTGGTGGTATGTATGTGGAA